GCGATGAAAGTAGGATGTGTCAGGGACTAGATCTCTGACAAACGGAACACAGAGATCATGTTTGTGTTTTGAACCCTATGCCCAACATCATGCATACATGGCACACGGTAGTCATTCAATAAAATGTATTGAATGAATTGACCATGAGAAGCAGCTGGACTCTGTGTACAGTGGGCTTGTGTGTGTAGGGTGGGGTGAGTGCTTTATCTAGTTCATCAGATAGTCCTTTTCCATCCAGAAGGAAGGCGCCTACTTTTCTGTGATTTCATAGACTAACAGATGATTTAGGTATCTCATATTGAAAGAGACATTGGATGCACAGAGAAAGAAATACAGCTGTAGGATAGGGAGGACAGTCATTTTTTGAGGTATTATAATACTGTCTGGCTAGTCTCCAATGCCTTCCAATTACAAATCAATGTCATACTTAAGCACTATCTATTTTGGTCTCTGTCTCTCTCTCACTCACACTCACGTGCATTTATGTTTGGGCTCTGGTGGTACAACAAGTATGCCCATTGCCAATTTCAAGGTTGTCAGTTTGAATCCGCCAGTGGTTCTTTGGGAAAAAGACCTGGGAATCTGTTCAGGTTGAGGTTACAACCCTGGAGACCGTGTGGGAGAATTCTATCCTATCTCATGAGGTCACTCTGAGTCAGAATTGCCTTTCTAGGATCCCAAACAACACACAAACCAATGACAGTTTCTAAAGAGAAGCAACATCACAAGAGAAAGCAAACAATTGTACTCTGTTTTCCCCAGTAAAATTTCACTATGTGAAATACTGAGAGTACGTTTCCCATCTGGAATCTCTGAACAATTTACCTTTCTAGAAAAAGTAGATGTTAAGGGTATGATATTTTTGACACATAAGATATATTTTCTCATCTCACTGTCGACTTTTTATTAAGACAATGTCTTAATGCTACTTATTTATATTTCTATTTAGACTTATTTTCAAGCAGTCATCTTTCTTATGACCTCAGCTTTATTTAATCTTGACAGACGGAAGCAAAAAATAAAATACGATTATGAAAATAAAGGTTTTTATTTTAAAAGCAAAAATGACCAAATATACTATATGAAGGAAGAGTGAACCTGAAAATACCTGTTACAAGAGATTGAATCAGTAATAAAACTTTGCCCACAATGACAAGGGCGCTCACTGGTAAATTCCACTGAACATTTGAAGAAGAATCCTTCCTAAAGTCATCCAGGAAACAGAAGCGGGGTGAACACATACTCCTTTATTGTATGGGGTCGGTACTATCCTAACACCTAAACCAAATAAAGACATCACAAGAATAGGAAACAGTGGACCATCATCCCTGATGAATACAGGCGCAAAATCATCAACCAGAAACCCGCATCTCGCACCACACTCAGAGAATCACACATCACAACCAAGTGAGACTAACCCCCCAAATAGCAATGCATCAATATCAGTTCATTAATTATATCAAATGTACCACATTAGCACAAGATGTTAATAGTAGGGGAAATGTAGTGCAGGAGGGAAAAGGGATGTATAGGAACTATCTGTAGTTTTCTGCAAGCCTGACCCTGCTCTAAAAAATATACTATAAAAATGGGCAAAACATTTGAAAGAACACTTAAGCAAGGAAGATACACAGATGCCGAATAAGCACAAGAAAAAATAATTATTCAGTCATTAAGGAAAATCAAATGAAAACCATAATGAGTTATAACTTAACATTCTAGAAGAGAGCTATTGTAATCATAATAACGGAAAATAACAAGTGTTGAAAGGATGTAAAAAAATTGGAATTTTTGTACATTTCTAGTGTAGTGCAAAATGGTGTCATTGACATAGGCACAGCTAAACAGTTCCTTGAAAAGTTAAGCATTGATTTATTATAACCAAGAAAATCTACTCCGATATTTATCGACCCCAAAGAACCTATAAGAATTGTTCAAACGAAAACATGTATATTCATAGCACACTGACAGCAGCCTATTAACAAGTCAGAGGTAGAAACAACCCAAACGTTCAGCAAATGACGAAGGGGTAAGGAAAATGTTGTAAAGTTGTACAACGGGATATCATCCATGTAGTAACAGCAATGTGACAACAGGGATCAAACCTGGAAACGCTCTGTGCCGTGGAAGCAGCCAGAATAAAAATGTCACATATGGCATGATGATATCTTTATGAAACAAACAACGGCAAAAACAACACAACACGAAGTCACTGCCATCCAGTCGACTCTGACTCATGGCGACTCTACCGAAAAGCAGCACCCTCCTGTAAAGCTTTACAGAAGTAGAGGACTCCTCTTTCTCCTGGTGCTTTTGAACTGCTGACCTTGTGGTTAGCAGCCTAATGCATAACCCACTGTGCCACAGGGCCAGGAGAAGAGATTAATAGGGCCTAGGGAGATAATGAGAATTGACTGCTTAATGGGCTTACGTTTCCTTCTGGTGTAATCAAAAAATAATTACATAGAGCTGATGATTGTACAATATTCTGACGGTACTAAATGCTGATGAATTGTACAATTTAAAATAATTATTACATTATAGGACATTGACTTCAAATTAACAGAGAAAAAAAAAGTTAAATGAAATTCTATGTTACTATGGGGCTTCAAAAGGTTCAAATAAAAAAGAAAATTTTATTATCTTTTGATTACATTCTTCCATGAACTTTTTGAAGCCCACCTGTACATCTGTTTCTCATGAGTTAGATTCAGTGTGAATGTTGGGTCTTTTATCTTTGGAATATTGACTTACAAAAGAAATCAAAATGCAAAAAAGAGGACAAAGAAGAGCTCTGTTGATAGGCATAAGAATCTGTCTGCAGGCCCAGTGAGCACATCAACATATATTGTAGCTCATATTATTTTCCCAGCATGGTGGTATACTATTAGAGAAGTTGACAGACTATAAAACAGATCTTATCTCTTACAAATTTTGTAGTATAGCTAAAGTGTTGACCATGTGCACAAAATTTTTTTCTAAACAACAGACAGGAACCAATGACAATTGACGTTCCCTAGGAAGAGTATTTTGAGAATCTGGCTCAAGCAAGCACAGAGGTGAGGAGGAAGCAAATCCTAAGCTAGGGGCACATCCAATAATGAACAATAAGCAGATCTGGGCCAAAGCAACTTAATTGTGGGAACTGCGAGCACCCGAGCATGTCTACAGAGGCAGATGGTTGGCAGAGAATGTGGAGAAGGCAACTGAGAGTACTTATGGGGCATTTGATGGGTTAAAACAAAAGTTACTTAGAATACCACTCAATTTGAACAACGACAATAACAACCCACACACATGAAGTAGAAAATCGTTTGGTGTTAAACAGTACATAATTTTCTTTAAATACAGGAGCAATATGAGAGGTAAGGACCAGTGGGAACATTTCATATAGAAAATAGGATGTTATTCAAACTATTGCATAGAATTTGGTCGAAGATGGATGGGTAGAGACATATCTCATAAGTAAGGAAGAACATGACCAGGACAGAGGAGGGAGACTAGAGCAGACAGTGAGTAGTTTCCTAGGAGGGGTAGTTAATGTTGCATAAGAAAAGAGTGTAAGGCTCAATGTAAAGTTTGGAAACAGACAAGTCCTTTAAGGTTGGTGTGAAGCGTTTGGAATTTTGCTATCCTAAATACAGATGGGATCCAGTAGAGGCTTGTTAGCAAGACTATAATATGATTTTAAAAATGAAATCTGAGGGAACAATTTAATGGCATTCAGGATAAATTTACAATCAGGGGCTGTGTCATGACAGACAGATCCTTGGTTAGGACACTTTGGTGGTAATCCAGGAAATACAAATATCATAGGGCTAGAATGATTACACTGAGATTGACAGAAAAGATTATAATGATGGGGTAAGCTATGATAAAATAATAATAATTTATAAATTATCAAGGGTTCAGGGGGAGGGGGGAGGGGGAAGGGAGGGGGGAAATAAGGATCTGACACCAAGGGCCCAAGTGGAAAGCAGGTGTTGTGAGAATGATGAAGTCAACATATGTACTCATGTGCTAGACACAAATGATGTATGTATGGATTGCGATGAGTTGTATGAGCCCCTAATAAAATGATTATTTTTTAAAAAATACAGTGACAGATGAATTCTAACAGATGAATGGGAGTTCAACATTCTTTTACAAATGGAAGGACAGTGGATATGCTACAAACACAGAGTGAATGAGAAGAATTAGATGTGAAGAACTATGAGTTTCACTGGGCATTCTGAGTCTAAGGGCCCAGGATTTCAGAGAGACAATATCCTTCAGGCCAGTCATTTTGAAAGTAAGAAGAGAAACCACATTGACAGGCATAGATTTGAGAATTACTGACTAACCACTTGTAGCACAATTAGAGCACTTTTTCAAGGGTTTCAAAACGTCAAGTGATTTTGGTTAGATGAGTTAAATGGCATATTGAACCATTCTTTCTCAGAATGCCTCTTGTCTTTGGCATTCGTCTTTTCTGACGAGCATGACGGAGCCTTGTTGTGAGACAGAACGTGGTGCTGCTATAGAGTATTTTTACAGATAATAATCTGCTGCTTCTATACAAATTATCTCTTCCTGAGCTTACTTTCTTTCTCCTTCCCACTCAGCCTTCCTGTGCCAGGTTGGGAGAAATCCTTTTTGTAAGGTGTCAGGTGGTTTTGGGTGCTATCAGAACTATAAGGGACGTAGAGAGCAAACGCAAGTGCATATCATCTTGCTGATTTCAAGAATAATAGATGCATCCACATATGGGGGTGTGTGGGGGCTTCACTTGCCCCATCCAGCAAATTGTAGGCGGATAGCTTCAGGAGGTCCCTACCACTTCCCTTCTGATACACATACTGCCTGTGGCGGAGAAAAGTCATGCCCACTTGCAAGCTGGCTTTTCTAGCAGGTTTTTGAATCGCAATAAAGGCAGTGTTCAGTACAGGAGGCGAGGTGAGGACAGAGCGCGTTTACAGCAAATAAAACAAGCCTCATAGAATAGAAACCATGCACCTTACCCTGATGCTTTCCCAAGCAGAGACCTCTGGAACACTTCCGAAGACCCAGTGGCACAAGAGGCCTATTGGAAGATTCAAGAGGAAGGAAACAATAGTTAGACTTTTAGCAAAACATGAAATCTGTTAATACTATCCACCCTGCTTTCAAAATTCATCACCAGAAACATATTACACTTAGCAAAGCACTGATCACGGAGCACCTGAATGTGGTTTCTTTCTTGGATACAGTTGTTTTTCCCCCTTTTTGTTTCTTTTTCTCCCGCTGAGGCTGAACGAGTCCATATGCACTCTCTGTGAATGAATGGCTTCAGAAAGGCACCAATTCGTATATGCATGCTGGGCGCATTTTACCAATTATCTGATTTTCCACTGCTGTGCATACAGAGTTTAATTGGATCACGTGATGGTGGCTGAGGGTCAGAGTGGTAAACAAAGCAAAAAGCAGCAGCCAAAAACTACATTAAAAGGTAGCTTCAGCTGTGTCAGCAACCACATTGGAGGGGTAGACAAAGAGAATGCAAGGTGAGCTGGGACGACAAGGCGATACAAGGCGAAGGGAAGGAGCTTCTGCTAAAATCATTCAACGTCTTGCTCCCTTCGCTCAAGGAGAGAACTCCATTCTGATGAGGAAAACTTTAGACTGAGGAGAGTTTGGCAGAAACTGCAAGTCTTACAGAATGCCAAGAGAGCAAAGAGCCTAAAACAAAGCGGCTTTTCAATTTCTCTACCCAAACTACCTTGCTCGTTCAGACCTGCTCTCAGACCTTCCCTGGGGCTGTGGGGATGACCTGTTCTTGGCAAATTTAATTCAGTATCTCAAACCATTTATTTTCTTTTTAAAAACAAACTGATTAGCATAGAAGCCGTGAACCATACGATTCAAAATAACATGTATTTTCACCAAACTGATGGGGGTCTTTCTGTAAAATGGGGGAGTAAAACAAGACAGTCTCTAAGCTTCCTTCTGACTTTAACATGGAATGATTTCAGAAAAAGTACAACTATTCCCTAAGGAAAAAATTAAAGAAAATATCATTTTCCCACACATTCACGTCTCTATATTTCACTTATACTTGTAAAGATTTTCCTTTGTATTAAACTGACATAGACACGTACCAATGGCTACAATCTTCTCCATTGGCCCTAAATCATGCATTTTTATTTTCAGTAGCTAGGCTATACATAGCACAAGCTCCAATACTTCTCCAACTACTCATGTATTATGGAATATATTGGTTACTTAGGCCTTAGGGTAGCGATGCCTGTTATTGCTAAGTTCCAACAGTTTCCTCTACTAACTTCAGAATTTGATGGCTAAAATGATAGCTTGCCTGCATCGCCCCAATTCTCTCACCACAAAGCTCTAGATGACATTTTAGAGAAAAATCTATGCAAAACATTGCCAAGAATTATATGTTCCATTATTGTAATTCTTTTGAAAAAGTTTTAGTATTGCTAGACTAAATGTGAAAGAATTCTTGAAAAGGAATCAGTGCAGCAAGCAAATGTTACTCAATTCTGCAGGCAGGCTTTCCAGAATAGTGGTGAATGGTTGTGCCCGATTTAAAAGTCCATCCCTAAGTCCCTCCTGCCTCAATAGGAATTTTGCATGAAGATAAGAAGAGGGAAGGATTATGTGGAAGATAAAGAGAGCCCTTGGCCTAGTGCTGTACTTAGAATAAATGGGAAACATTGAGCAAAAAACCTTCTCAAGCAAACATTCAGTTACACTGAACCACCTTAGGGCAGCTTCGCTCTGAGCCTCAATGGTGCTGAAGCTTAGACAACAAACTCAATGGGCTAAAATCTGGAAAGAGGGCTCCGATTTAGAAATGGGAGAGAAAATCTATTAGATATATATTAGTCAGAATAAAAGCTGGTAAAATGTTTTTTAAGATCGACTCAATACAGTGATGAACGTATGAAGCACATCGCTGCATGGGAAGAATTGGAGGAAATCATGCTAAGTGAAGTAAGTCAGGCACAAAAGGACAAGTACAACA